ACAGTGCAGTTCTCTCGAGGATTGTGGGTTTAGTAGGCCAAAAAGAGATGAAGAGTTTTCACTTTAAACTTTTCTGCACTGTAAAATTATGCTTTATTTTTCAGTTAAGCTAAAAAATTATTCCTCTTATTAAATTAGAATAGCACATATATTATTATACATAATTATTATTCCATGTAGGTATAATATTGACATATAAATATATAGATTACGATATATTATATAATTATGCATTTCTATATAATATGATATTATATAACATATATCTGCTTTGTTAGCTATTATTATACAAATATAAGGATAATAATATTAAAATTAAAAATATTGCTAATAATAGTGGTTGTAAAAATAAGGTATGGCAAGCAAAGTTTTTGTGGAATATAACATAGAGGAACTAATCCTGATCTCAGTAATCCTGAAGTTTTGAGTATATTGCATAAAACTGTTATTGGAGCTGGACTTTTGAAGGGTTATTAAGAAGCCTGGAAACACTTGGAGATCTCAGTGTGTGCTACAGGAATTCACTCAGTGCTACCTGAAAAAGGGCTTAGCTTTTATGTTCCCGTTAGAATTCCCAGACATTGCCTTGAGGGGAGCACATTGTCCTGGTATGAAAGTGTCATTAGTGTCAGCTTAATTGGGGATTTGGTGGTGAGGTTCCAACTTGGCATTTCTTGCCCCACACAAGCAGCACAACACCTTGAGTTCATCTTCTGGGACTAAGCTGTAGAACATACTCTGATCCAGCAAAGCCTTTGAGGAGATAATGAATAGATGAGTAATTAAATCATCATAATGGGTGTTCCCAAATTAATTGTGGCACCTAATTGGTCTTCAGTGGGAAAATAGTAGCAGTGAGGTGTTAGAGAGAACAATCCAACCGTTGGGACAAGGAACCTCTCTGGAAGTGTGGAGAAAAGCCATTCCACATGTGTTTGATTTCATTTCCCATTCCAAATTTCACATTGCTTGGATAATAGGAAGCCTGAGGCCTGTGACAGCTCTTTTTTCTGATGGGATTCCAGATGCTAGTGAGAAATCCTAGAGGATTAGTGTAGTGTCATCCAAGGGCATCATGAGCTCCCAGGAAAGCACAACCTGGCACAGAAGTGCTATAAATACATTATACAGCGAATACTACAGGTTTGGGGGGTTATTTTGGCTGTGTTGTTCCATCAGAAGTTTCAGGATCCACTTGAGTTTTGTAAGGTAGAGAGTTTGGGTGAGGCCAAGAGAGTTGGTCTGAGGTAGTGCCAATTCCTGAAAAATAGGTGGAAGTTCTTACGTGATCACGTGGCAGTAAAGAAGAGTATGTGGAGGACTCAGAAAATCAGGTTTTGGTTATACCCAGCCAAAAATATGAACATCTGTATGTGAACATAGAGCCTAATGTAATGATAGAGCATCTCCCCTGTCAAAGACAGCACAAGAGGTGGTAAATATCCAGGGAGTTCATGTAATACTTACTTGAAGTCCGTGCTGTTTTAAAGCATGTGCTGAAATGTGATGTGAACATTATGACAGGTGAGGCAGTGCTGTTGTGATGTGGCCAATAATCAGGATCACAGAGGAGGGATCCACAAGGATCATCCAGTCCAATTCCTGGTCCTGCACAGCACAGGCCTGCCCCAGCAATCCCATCGTGTGCCTGAGAGCATTGTCCAAACACTCCCTGAGCTCTGTCAGGCTTGGGGCTGTGACCACTGCCCTGGAGAGCTGTTCTGGTGCCCAAACATCCTCTGAGGGAAGAACCTTTGCCTAAAGTCCAGCTTAAACCTCCCCTGACAGAACTTCAGGCCATTCCCTCAGGTCCTGTCACAGAGTGATCAGTGCTGCCTCTCCTCTGATGAATTAGTTATAGACTGTAGTGGGGTCTCCCCTGAGTCTCCTTTGTTCCAGGCTGAACAGACCAAATGCCCTCAGCCATTCCTCATATGACTTCCCCTCAAGGGTCTTCACCATCTTGGTGGCCAAAGATGTTGCTGAATAACGTTGACAGTCCTTTCTCAATGACAGAGTTGAGTGGTTAGATATAGTAACCAAATCTTGTTACCCATCCACAGCTATTTCAAACCTATCTTGGATATCCACCTGGAAGGTTCCATGGTACTGGAAGAAGCTGTGCATGGGACTGATTAATTAATTATGAGTGTGTTACCATCAGTTTTTATATGTTGCTAAAGATTCTTCGGGTTTATTTCCTTTCCCTTTCATTCCAGTTTCTCCTCCTGGCTTTGAGAGCATTGCTCTGGGAGAGGAGGATCTCACCAACGAGCTGATGAACGAGGACATCCGTATCCATAGCTGGCCTTGTTCTTACTACCTGGACACTGGGAAGCAATGGGTCTCTGGGAGACTCTCCCTGACTCCTGTGGCAATCAAATTTACAGCTGACAAGACTGGGGAGCTTTTGGTTGACTTCCACCTTTCTGGCATCAGTGAGATCAAGAAGGAATCTTCCAATTTAATCTTCAGCTCCCTCACCATCTTGGAGAAGAACACCAAGCACTGGTTCAGTTCTCTTCAGCCCAACAGGAATGTGGTGTTCAACATCCTGGAGCACTTCTGGAGGGAGCAGTTGCTCTCAAGCCAAGGGGCAGGAGCAGAAGCAGCAGCTTTGCAGACTACGAAGGGAAAGGAACTGACTGGATTGATGACTGGATCCCAGAAACGCTTGGAGGACACAGCAAAGGTGCTCCATTACCAGGGAGAGCAGTTTGATAACATCATGAAAGGACTCAACAAGATTGAAGGGGATATGGATGTAGCAGACAGGTATGAAACAGGAGCATCCTCTGGGATGAGCAGTGCTTAGGGGAGTGTGTTCTTTATGCCTCAGATTTATGGGACAAATCCACAGAGGTATTTGGGAAACCATTGATTTTTGATTAGAGGGATGGAGCAGCTCTCCTAGGAGGAAAGCCTAAAGCAGTTGGGTTTGTACAGCCTGGAGAAGACAAGGCGTTGAGGTGACCTAATTGCAGCCTTCCAGTGCCTGAAAGAGCCAACAGGAAAGATGGAGAGAGACTATTTACAAGGGCCTGGAGTGACAGGACAAGGGGGAATGACTTCCACTGCCAGAGGGTTGGATGGGATAGTGGGAAGAAATTCATCCCTGTGAGAGTGCTGAGGCACTGGCACAGGTTGCCCAGAGCAGCTGTGGCTGCCTCATCCCTGGAAGTATTCCAGGCCAGGTTGGACAGGGCTTGGAGCAACCTGGGCTAGTGGAAGGAGTCCCTGCCCATGGCAGGAGGTGGAACAGGATGATCTTTGAGGTCCTTCCAACCCAAAGTATTCTGTAATTCTGTAATTCTTGATATCTGTTCTCTCTCCTTCTCTCTAAGGGTTCTCAAACCCTAATAAGTTTCAACCCCACCTGACAGAAATGGTAGAGATTTCCAAAAGACATTAACATCATTTAGGTTTTGAGAGAACAGATTACTAGTTAAGGGAAATATGCAAGTTTGTTATATGTCCTAGAATATTCATAAATGCAGATCACTCGCACTTGCCTGTGCTTAATTTTGCTGCATTCAGACAACTGAAGAAGAAATTTGGAGCCCATTTGAGGTGTTGCTTAACTGTGGCTGTTCCAGAACTCAACGTAGTAAATGTTTGGTGTCTTAATCAGAACATTATGACTTTTCTATTTACTGCTTAACATTCCAAGTGAATTCTTTTATGCTGTTTTGTATTCCATGCAGGTCCAAAGTAGACACTTAGGTTAGAAGCAGTATTGTAATATTTCAAGATCTATAGCTCTGAATGGCTTTGTAGAAGCTCTGACACCTGCATAGAGAAACAAACACAATAAAGTTCAGACTAGTTGTTTTTGGAAGAATTCTCTGTTTGCAGAAGGATCTCATGGCTGAAGCAAAGTGTTGGTTTCCCAGTGATTCTGGTGATATTCCCTACAGCCTTTCATGAAAAGCCAAGAGAGCTTTGAAAGTCCTGTGGCAATAAACAATGAGGAGGAAAATAAACACCTGCTCATTGTTTTTGGAAGAGAGATTTGGTTTGGGTTAAGATGCTCTGGGAGGTATTATTTGTTCTCAGGAATCTCAAGACTTGGAGGCTTTGATTTCCAAATGGAAAAATAAAGGAAAGAAGTGACCAAATGTGAGTTGAAATTATGTTTTATCTTTAGTCTGAAGAGTTTGGCCACTTTGCTCATGAGCTAATATGCAGCCCAGAACCATTAGCAATACTTTTAATTGCAATGGGCAGGATTATTCTGCACATGGAGCAGGAAATTTGGGAACAAACTCTTGTTCCAGGTCCTCTGAGCAACACCAGTTCGGTGGTTGCATTCCTAAGAAGAACCAGAGCCCTATATCTCCTTCCATATGTTTCAAACTTTGATTCACTTTTTCTTCCTGTATGTGTGGCCTTTTTTGGGGGATTATTCATTCCGTGCCTGCATATTCCTGGGTATATCCAGCTGCTCCTAGTGGACTTGCAGATAAGCAGAGTGTGTGCTGTGCTAGCAGATGGTCAGAGACCAAAAATAAACAGAAAGGCAAATCCACTGGTGGTTCTTTAGTATGGTATGATTAAAGAACAAGGAGCTGTGGTTGTGCATGTGCATTTGTATATATGGAATGGTCTTGGTTGATCCACAGGGGTGATTCCTCTGTGGAATGCTGGATAAATTGGCTGGAGCCTTTTTTTAGGGCTGTGCAGCAGAAAATTCATGGCTGGAAATAACTCAGCCAGGATTTCAGTCCCTGGGGAATGAGGGGAGGAGACAGGTGAAGGGACCATTGAATCAAAGAATGTTAAGGGGTTGGAATGGACCTTAGAGATCAGCTAGTCCCAACCTCCTGCCCTGGGCAGGATCACCTCCCACCAGCCCAGGTTGCTCAAGGTTTTATCCAACCTGGCTTTGGATAAAGTGATAAAAATTAAGACTTAAGTTCTACAGGATAAATCACCACAGTGTAAATGGAGGTTGAGACTTGTCATGTTGAGTGAGTGAACTCAAATGCTTTCCTCACCCTGCATAGGATGAAGTGAACCCATGGTGGAGTAGGAATTGAATTATTTTCCATAGGTTAAGCTCCAGGCATGATCTCTCCTTGCCCTGAAGTACTTTTTTAAGTATTTCCTGTGCCCAGAGGACAGAAAATTGCTTTGCATTGGGTAGAATGAGATCAGGCCATTGGTTCCTGTTTGGGTGCAGCAGGTAGGGCAGAGAATGGCTTTTAATTTGGGAGATAGTTTGTGCTAGCAGCATCCAGAGCTTTTTCAGCCATTCTCTGTGTTGAATTTAACTTAAACCTCGTCATTTCAACTCCATTTCTAGTTCTGCTATTGTAGAACTTTGCTACATCCTCTTTAGTCTTGTTTTTCCTCCCCTTTTAAGCAGCAATTCCAGAGGGACAAAGAGCTCCAGCGCCGTTGCAGACTATCACCATAAATATCTGCTATTCATTCTTTACTTGGGAGGAGAATTTTGGAACACTTCATTCTGCCTCTGTTATCCATGAATTCAGTGTTTGACTCCCTTTTCCTAGGAGATGAATTTCTTTAAGTAGGTCTGTTTGGAATCCAGTGAAGAATTTTGATGGCAACAGAGCATGTTCAGTTAGAATTTCCTCCTTCAGATCAGCCTCTGCCTGCAGCCAAATGAAACAGGAATTAAAAATGGCAGAGTTTTCCGTGGACACGTACAGATCCTCTCATGGAAAATGAAGAATTGCAAGAAGTTTCTTGAGAGCAGCACTGCTGTGATGCATGTTTTGTCAGAGTAAGGTTAGCTAGAGGAAAGCTAAAAGCAAATGAAATCAAGCTGGTTTGGTTTGTGTCATGCTGGAAGCATCCAGTGGGCACTGGATGGGTTGTTAGAGAAGTGGATGCATCCCAGAGGGTTCATTTGCCTCTTCTATACCTGCGCAAGGGGATTTGAAGTTACTGGTGCCTGTGTGGAGAGATGGAGTTGACCCCAAAATTTCTTCCCAGCCACTGAGGCTGAGTCATTGTGTAATAGAAGATCCTCTGCTCACAGGATAGGTGTGGGGATGGGCAAGGGATGAGAGGAGAGTGGGAGATACGGAGCATCATTTGTGCTGGCTGTGGCTCTGCCTCCTACAGAGAGAAGAGAAGGCATTGGAGAGACCTTGGAGCCCTTTCTGGTGCCTAAAGAGGCTCCAAGAGAGCTGCAGAGGGACTTTGGGCAAGGGCCTGGAGGGACAGGACAAGGGAAGTGTTCCAGGCCAGGTTGGATGTGGCTTGGAGCAACCTGGGCTGGTGGAAGGTGTCCCAGCCCATGGCAGGGGGTGGAACGACGTTATCTTTAAGGTCCCATCCAACCCGTTCCATGATCCCTGCGTAGCCCTGGAGAGTGATTCCACAGACAGGCAGCACAGCACATGGAAAATCAAACTCCATCTACCACCTTCCCTCTCATTCCCATTTTGTTGGTAACAAGAGTCATGGTGAGGCTTAGAGATCTGTTCTCATGATCCGTTCTTGGGATAGAAGCCCAGAAATAGGGAATGGGCTTTGCTGACTTTAGACATAACAGAAGGATCATGTCCTTCATGTCATTGATTGTTCCTGAGAGTGAGTTCCATCTTTCCTGCTGGCAGCTAAAGGATTTAGGTGCCTCCTTAGGTGCATCTTGCTTAGAGTTAAGGGATTTGACTCCCTGTGGCATTC